CTAAAACCTTGTCGAAATGTTATACATTTACTGTTATGTTAAACTTATATTAAAGTTTTCTTCATTACCCATTCAAGCCGTCTCCAGCCATTATTATTAGAGGAATTTTTGGGTATGACAGTTGTTGAGATATTGATGGTAAATAAAAGAAAAAAAAATTTAATTAAAAGCAAATCCATGATAAAAATTGGAACAAACAACAATTATTGCTAATAACTTGAGTTTATTCTAATTCAAATATGATGATGTGTAAACTAAGTCACACTCAAAATCATTGAACAAGGTATGCTAATAAAAATAAACTGTAAACAAAATATACATCCAAGACTTTATAAGCTTGAAACTATACTGCTAAATTCTGACCACCCCAGGAGGATAACTAACATCCAAATACCTATCAAGTGTATTGGATCAGCCCAGACTTTGTACAGAGTCATATCATTAAAACATTATCTCGTGCTCGTATCACTTTACACAATTCTTGTGACAACCACTTTACTGTAAACAAGCTGATAAATCCTCTCCCACTGTGTTCTCGGTGCTGGGATTACAATAAACACTCTGGGAATCAGTGGCTTATTGCACAGCACATGCTTGTTTGCTATCAACAGTATCACATAAACAGTCTAGTGGCAGGAGTAGTGATGCATTGCTTTGTATTCTGCTGGTTTATACTTCAGCTGCTAACAGTAAAGTAAATATTGGAAATAGATGTGTAAAGGATAAAAGCAGAAACTCTCAGAAGTACCTTAGAACTTTGTGGTCAATAATAAAAAAAGGACAAAAGAGTACTACTTATTTTATTTCAATTTTTTTTTATGGTGGTTACGAGTTCAGTCAAAACTGACCATATGAGTATAGAGTTAGGGTAGAGAAAATAACAGATAAAATATAAAGTCTTACTAAAAAAATGTTTGATACTTATTGAGGAGGTTTTAGAGATTAAGCTAATGAAATTTTATAATTTTTGAATGAAGAAAAGTATTCTTAATCTTAAATTGAAAATCACTTTGCACTCGAAGCAGTCAGCAGTCTGACTCCATATATTCATGGAGAAATGTTTTTGTAAAAATACTTAATTATAAATTCTGATTTTCTAGTCTACAAAAAGACTTGTAATATTTATTAAAATTTTGTAAAATTCATGAAGATACACAAAAACACGTTAAAAGTTATAGCATGGAAATTCTGATGTTTACTTATGAGTCACGTGATCAGTGTAATCCATTGGGGTAGGGTTAATTCTAAAGTTGTAAAGAAAATATTTGGGAGTTTAAAAAATGTTAAATCTCCCTGGGTAAGATAATAAGGTTTTCAAGAAGGTTAATAATTGGTTGTAACAGTCACTTGCTACTAATTTTTTAATAGTGGGCAGATGCCAGAACATTGGAAGTTGGCCAATTTTCCTTCTCTTTTTAG